GGTAGTTTTGAACCACTGACATTTTGGTGGTTAGCAGCCAAATTAAACAAATTTTCTGAAGCCCCGTTGTACTGACAGTATGCATATAAAATCCACCCAAGAACGAGAAATCCCAAATTCAGCATCAAACCTACAATCCACAGAAAAGAGGAAGGAAAATGGGCATGATGGATTTCAATTTTATCTGCAATATTTTTGTTATATATTTGGCCTCTCTTTCCAAATTAAAATTTTATTGTATTTTTAATTGGGTGTACACAACAGAAACAGAAAAGGCTTACTGAGTGAAAAAAAAAGCCTTCATAATTAAAAGCGTACACAATGAATAAGTTGGGTACACAAGTACTTGTTTTATTAATTGCTGGACTTTTCTGCATAGGCTTGCTGTATATTTTACAGTTGATGCTTGAGCAGTGTGGGTTTACATTGAATTTTTCCCCTACTGCTATTGGAGTAGAAGTTCCCTGGCTGCTAACTCTAAGGTCTGTGGCTGCTTGATCTGCTAGACAAAGATGTGGTAAATTAACCCTAGAAACCATGAACACAGCTGGAAACCCTGTCTTGTAAGCTCGGCCCAAGTTGGCAGTGGGTTTGGGGTTTCAGTGAGCTCAAGTGTTGAGTTTCCACTTAACACTGTGCTCTGTGCTCTAGAGATGAATGCTCCCTCAGAGACGATTAGTGTCACTAGGCATTTAAAGCAGATACTTTAAAATACTTTAAAGCTCACCGAAAAAGCAACGGGAAAACAAATCCAACTATAAGTAGACACACAAAGTTCAAACTCATGCTGTTCAAAGGTCAGCTGAATTTCCCGCTTCATGCATTCCAGAAGTTTATCAGTGCAAAATGAATGCAGACTAAGTAATTTTCTTATCCAGAATATTCTTACACATTACCTCCTTTTGGTAGTTTTTTCTATATCTCACTTCCCTGAGATAAAACACAACTGGATGAACAAAATTAAACACAGGAGCACAAACCTTGAAATTCTGGTCTGTCATTTCATTTCCATGTGATCTTGGACAGTATTTAAACAGTGGAACAGGAGTCACTCTCACCCTATGCAAACTGGAAAGTTTAACTGCGAATGTATACAGATCTCTATAGGTCATAAGAAGTAAACAATAGATAAATTTTATTTGGTGTCATACTAATAACAGTAGCATCAAAACTAAACAAAGAGGCCAAACCTGATTTTCTGGGAAGCACTGCTCTAATAGATCTGGAAGGTTCCACTCAGAACAGCAACACTCACACTAGCTAGCCTTACGCCAGGAACACATGTAATTACCAACAAAAACCCTGCATCAAGTGCACTTCCTCTGTAGCACCCTTCACTATAACTAATCATGAAAGTGTGATAAAAGCACATAAATATCATAAAAACTACACAAAATCTGAGGGGATTAAAAAAAAAACACTCCATTAATGTACAGTACTTCACTTCACACTACAGTCGAGAATACTGCTCAGCTAGGGATACAGCAGTAAACAATGCTGCTGGCCTCTAGCAGCTTACATGTTATTATGAATGAAATTATGTCCCTCAAAATATATATTGTAAATCCTAACCCCTATAAATCTTGTGGGTAGAGCCACAGTGACACAGTGGGCTAATCACTGGGTGGCAAACTACACAGTTGGCAGTTTGAACCCATTACCCACTCCTTGAGAGACACATGTCTGCTGTCAAGATTGACCACCTCAGAGACGCTATGGAGCAGTTGTCCTCTAGCCTAGAGGGTAAACTCAAATGCAATGGGTACATATATGGATACGGTCTCACTCAGGAACAGGGTTTTCTTTGCTAAGTTAATGAGACCATGTCAATGTTGGTTGTGTCTTAAGCCTCAGAGATCTAAAACAACTGGATTAAACAGAGAAGCAAGCAGAGATGAGAGAAGGCAGATGTCACATCACGTGATGATTACCAAGGAAACTCGGAACAGGAACTGGAACAGTAGATGAAACAAGACAAGGATCTTCTTCCAGAGCAATGAGAAAACTTCCCTCTGGAGCCAGCACCCTGAATACTAGCTTCTAGCCACTTAAATTGTGAGAAAATACATTTCTATTGTTACTTGTGGTATTTCTGTGACAGCAGCTAAGGAGTCAAAACTACATAAGTAGTTTGCTAGCAATGCCAACAAGCACTATGCACACTTAGAGCAGAGTAAAAGGACAGAGAGAGCAGAGTGGCGGGGAAGTAAGGAGAGCTTCTATTTCATATAGGGCAGGTCTCACTGATAAGGTGACTCTAAATCGCAGACCTGAAGAAAGTCAAGAAAGGGGTCATCTGAAAGGAGAGAGAAAAAGAGGGCCCAGAGGCTCCACTAAGGGCAATGAGTGACAGGGAGGATAAAAATGAGATCAGATCTGTTGGGCAGGGATCTGCACTTGTAAGAATTGATCCAGGAAGTTTCCCCCTAGCACCAATCCCCAGGCTGAGGGTAAACAGAGCTCAGTGGAAGGGAGATGGAACTGTGCAGGACAACAACGCCTGGGCTGTACTATAGACATCGGGGTCCGGAGTGCTGTGTCACTGAAAACATTGTTGATTTTATCAGTGCAATAGCTTTATATCCCAGGGGGATGATTGACAATGCTTTACTTTTTTGTTTCTATGGGGTTTTGTTTTCCTGTTTATTGTATGTTTCTGTTGGATTTTCCAGTTTATGAAGCACAGAAGGAGTAGATGCATAGAGATAATAAATGATGCAAGGGTTTATAGGGGATGTAGGGGTGGGGGTCGGAGTTAGGGAGGTTGAGGGGCTATGAGGAGCAAATAATGAATGCGGTAGGAGGGAGGGAGCACTAGAACGGATTGTGATTATACAACTCATTTTAAAAGCGATTTAAGCATGGAAGTATATGACATATGAATACTCTATCAAGAAAACCACGGAAAAAAAGAAAAAACCTGACCAATGGTTACCACAGGTGAAGGGGAAAGAGTTGTTGCGTTTGAGTTTATGTCAATGGTGGTAAAATAATTTGGAAAACGTTATCAATAGTGGCTGTACAGCATGAAGAGTATAATGAATGACACTGAATTATACAAGCAGAAGTTGTGGAATTGGAGAATATTCTGTTGTGTACATTTTGCCACAATTAGAAAAAAATTTACATGAAATACAATGACTACAAGGAAGAAGAAACTTTTCTAGAATTGAATATGACAACTGTACAACTCTTCTTAATATGACCGAAATATTGAATTGCGTGACATGTGGATAAAGTGCTAATAAAACTTTAAAAAAATGAGATCAGAGATGGCAAGAGTGGGACTTGAAACTTCTTATTCTGATTGAGTTGGGGCATTTAAGAGGATTTGGAACAATTAACTGACATGAAACTTTTTACCTGCAGAATCCTTTGTTCAAAGAGACCCCCAGAAGAAGTGAAACAAAGATATTAGTTAATGCCCTGGTTAGGCAGAGGATCATCAAAAAAGAGGAAGACCCTCAAGGAGACAGTGGCTGCCACAATAGGTTTAAGCACAGAAATGGTTGTGGCGATGGTGGCAGGCAGTGCTGAGTTCTGCTGTACATGGGGCACTAGGAGTTGAAACCAATGGGGCATTGAATGGGACATCCAAGGCCTGCCTGAGTCAGTTTCTGCTCCCATTGTCCTTCCCCTAAAGTAACAGTCAAAAATTAATACAACGCCTCTAGCATTCACACTTTCATAACCTGTGTCCAAAGACCTTCTCATAATCTGGATCCTACTTTTCAAAAAAAAAAGAAGCTATTATCAAGGAA